ATTTGCTGGATCTCTTCAATATGTAAGTCAGTATTTGCTGAAATGTCCTCACTGGAATTCTAGCTTTATAAACTTTACTTGATCTTGGGAAAAGAGTTCCCAGCTATCTACCTATGGGGATTCACACTGTGCATTAATGGAGTGAGGACTTTGGCAGTCCTGAAGTAAAGAAATCCATTTAGATTGGTTTAAAGCTCTATTAAACATAAAAAGATCAACATCATCAGTAATTAGGAGGTGTAAATTTAAAACACCACTCACCTATTAGAACAGCTAATACTGGAAAGACAAAGAAGCAGCAGTGCGGAGTGTTAATGAGAGTGCTCAGGTAACTGGAGCTCTCAGGCATTTGAGTTGAGTGCAGAATGGTGCCACAACTAAGGAAAAATGTTTGAAAGTCTTTTTAGATAAAATTAAAACTCTCTTAAGCTGGGCGTGGTGGTACATGCCTTTAATCCCAGCGCTCAGGGGCTGAGGCAGGAAGATCATCCTGAGTTTGAGGCCAACCTGAATTACATAGCAAGACCTTGTCTCAACAAAACCAGACCAAAACAAAACAAAAAACCTCTGTTGTCTTAGTCATTTGGAGCTTCTAACAAAATACTATAGACTGTGTAGTTTAAAGAGCAGAGATTTATTTCTGATTCTGGAAGCTGGACATTAAAGTGGGGTTCCAGCATGGTATCCATGGTGAGGGCCCTCTTTCTGGCTACATGCAGTGCCCTCCTTATGTCCTCAGTCAGCCCATGACATACGTCTAACTGTGAATGCAGCCATCTCACACTCTGATATTTACCCAAATTAACTTGTGCATACACAAACACTAGAATATAAATGCCTAAAATAAGCTGAGCCAGCGGCATGTGCCTGTAGTCTCAGCTACCTGGGAGGTTGAGGCAGGAGAATCGTGAGCTTGAGGCCAGCAAAAGCAACATAATGAGACCATTTCTTTCCAAAAAAAAGTTTAAAACACTTTATTGATTATTACTCCAGAAAGAACTCAAAGTGTCCTTCAATAGATGAATGGATGAACAAATTGTGATAATCTATAGAATCGAGTACTTTTCAGCAATAAAACCATGAACTGCTAAAACATACAACATGGATGAATAGCATAAACATTAAGAAAAAAAGTCAGATTTAAAGGCTACATATTGTGTAATTCCATTTATGCGGCATCATGGAAAAAGGAAAATTTAGGAGAAGAGAAAGCCAGTAAGTGGATGCCAATCGGGAAGTACGGGAAGGGGCGACTGCCAAGGTTTGGGGGCAGAGTGGTCTTTGGGAGGAGAGAAATGTTCTACATCATGACTGTTATGGTTTGTGTCTAGATGTTCCCCTAAAGCCTCATATGATCATGGGGTGCAAGCTTTTCAGAGGTGGCTGAATCTAGAGTTTGTGATTGGTTCATTGTCTAGTGCTGGGATTGGGGGTGTGAGTCCCGCAGGAGGATTACCCCCTAGGGCAGGTAGCTGCCTAGAGTATAAGGACGGAAAAGATGTTTGCTCCTCCCTTTTGCTCTTGTTGCTTTTGTTATCTTCTGCCACCATGAACTGTTGCCCTCTGCCATGTGCCACCCTGCTTTGGAGCCAGCTGCTTGTGGGCTGAAACCTCCACAAACTGTGAGCTAAATAAACCTCTTCCCCCTTTAACTTTGGGTGTTGGGTACTTTGTCCCAGCAATGAGAAAAATAACTGAAACAGTGACTGACGTGATGGTTACATATTTGTGTTTCCGTCAAAATTCAGAATCTAATATATTTAAAAGGTTACTCTTACTGCATATAAATGTATGCTAATTATTTTTGAATAAAGAATAAAAGAAAAAATGACAGAGAGAATAGACGTCAAACAAGTAACAGAAAACAAAAAACAAAAACACCTATCCATGTCCTGTGGAACTATTTTCACATGGAGCATAGCTTGTAAACGGTGTTTGAAACTACAGATCAGGCATTCACATAACCACACCAGTGTCCATCACTCACTCATTTGCTCCATAAATATTTAATGAGTATCTGCCACACATATGGTTCTAGATGCTGGGGTACGTAAAGGCAAATGCAAATTAAATATAGTAGTTCAATTCTCCATGTGGAAAATAAGGAAAAAGACTTTCCTCCTTTTTCTTTCAGAATCTCTTGTTCCGTCCATCCCCAATGTATCTGAGTATTTTTAATGGCTAAATAAGCCTCTTCACCATCTTATAACTCAAGGTGTTTCTCTTGAACCTAAGCGCCCCCCTCTTTGAAATGTAATCACCAACCAAAATAGTGCTCTAATTTCCAGTTTTCTGGGAGTACATGGCGCTAACTTCAGTTGTCACTTGACTCCAAATTATAAAAATTGGCCATATAATGAATGGTTATAGCTACAGTACATAAAGGGTTGAGACAGTGTCGCTATGTAGTGTAGGCTATGTAGTTCAGGGAGTGCAGGAACTCACCATGTAGCCCATGCTGCTCCCGAACTCACCATGATCCTCCTGCCTCTGCCTTCTGAGTGCTGGGATTACAGGCATCGGACCCTACATCTGGCTAAAAGCTGAGGCTTCTGACTTTGCCATCATCTTAGTGATATCGGGACTTAGAAAAGACACCCCAGTATATGCCACTTTGAACTCCCAGCTTCCCTGGGGAGCAGCAAATGCAGGGGAGGTCTTTCTCTGCCTGCACAGCTGACCCGCCGAAGAGGAGCACTGTTCCTGCAATGTCATTAACTAAGAAAATAAACTCATCACAGAGGAAGAAACTGAAAGCCAAACACCACACTAGAGTCCCCAGGAACTTTCCCTAGGCCGCTGTCTGCAGGCTCATCTCTCTCCCCAAAATCACTTAACATCCCGCTAAAACTGCCCATATCCCCCCTTTCCGCTCCACCAACAAGAGGGTGCAAAAGCCTCAATCACCTGATGTCTCTGCACTGCGTGTTTCACGTCGTTTTTGTGCGCATGCGCGCATTAGTGACTGCATGAGCTATTTTTCTCCGTTGTCAGTTTGCTTCAGCAGCCCAATCACAAGACTTTCAGAGGAAGTTTGCACCTCCCCACAGCCAAGTGCTTCTCATGAGCATCACATCAGCACTGACTTATCCTTCGGGCCTGTGATGCACAGTGGATAACAAAAAGCAGAATACAGCTTGACGTCACTGTCTTCATTTTATATCTGTCTCTTTAATTACCTGAAACGTTGGATCACATCGCTCTTCAGCTCTGCACACAGCCAGGTGAATCACTTAAAAAGTGTCTACTTAAAAACTAGTGAAATAGGGACTGGGGATTTAGCTCAGCGGCAAAAGTGCCTGCCTGGCAAGCGCAAGGTCGTGAGTTCGGTTCCCAGTACCGGAGAAAAACCAAAAAAAAAAAAAATAAAAATAAAAAATAAAAAAATAAAAAAAAATAAAAAGCTGAAAAACTAGTGAAATAAAGTTTATTAGCCTTCAGTTTTGCCTAACCTATCTCATTCCCCCTCAGGACTGAGGACAGACACCAAGATAAAAGAAACTAACGTATTTTAAATGTTTCTAGGGACATTCATCTGCCAGCTTTTACAACCTGCTGTTCTGGACCCCCTGGAGTGGCACTTACAAGTGTCCAGCTATTGCTGTAAAATTGCAGTCACTCTGAATTCCAGCAGAGCTTTAACAGACGGATGAGATCGCCCCTATGGGAACCAGATTTTCTCCTTAAGCAATAAGTCCACAGTCACCACGCAGAACCAGCACTGAGCTAATGATCAACCAGACCCCAACCTTCCCCAGCAATCCCATTGCTTCCTTCCTTGGCTCACAGGCCAGCCTAACTTTCCTCAGGAGTGCATGCCCCCGCACCTCTTCTCCTTAAGCTGAAGCCCCTTCCAGTGTTCTCTTCCTTCTCAATTAAAACCTTTGCCTGTGTTCTCATACTTGCCAGCCTGGTTTCCGATTTCTATTAACACTAGGTGAAAAGATCCCTCATGTGGTATTAATGCGCCCTAAACGACAAAGTAATTTTTCCTCCCTTCTATTCTTATAGAGAAGTTTAATGCTTTGGAGAAAGATTTCATCATAATTATTTCCCAAATAGAAAAGAGCAGTAAACAAAGAAGCAACAGCTACCTCTAGTAGTGCTTACACTGGAGAACTTAGATGCTAGGTACAGAAAGGCAATAAAAAGTAAATTTACAGAGCACTTTAGTAACAAATTCTATGGGGAAAAATGCAAAGAAGATCAGAGAGCAACAGGAATAGGAACTTATAATTATTAATAAGGATGATAGGGAAAGAAAACGTGATTTTTCCTTCACCTTTGTGATTTATTAGCTGAGGAGGATCCCTGTAACAAGACGGGCTCACAAGAGAAAAACAAACAGAAGTTATGAACACAAATACCTTATCTGTACATGGGAGACACCAGAGAAAATGAGTAAATCTCAGAAAGGTGACTTTGAAACCCACCATCAGTTGCAACAAGAGAAAAAGTATTGGAGGGACAGCTGTAGCGAGGTCGCCCAGAAAATAATCAAAAACAAGGGCAAGATTTTTTATGTTTGTCACTGTCAGAGCCTCCTCCACTGGTAAGGGTGTCTACATTTTTGGAGTCCTTCTTCTTTTTCTGCCACTGAGAGGAAATCATGAGGATATTTTCCTCATAGACGCAAATTTCCCCCACCAAAGGGTAACTTCTAATCTATTTTCTGAGCTTCTCCTGTGTCTGGAGTTTCTCAAAATAACCTGCTCAAAATAATTTTTATGCCAAGGAGGCATATTTTAGGGTGGTATGTTCTCACCTACAATGGTCAGAGAAAGTCTCACTGAGAACCTGAAATTCAAGCAGAAATGTGAGAGATGTGAAAGAAAATCATACAGCTTTGTAGAGAAAGAATGGTCAGGGTGAAGGGAACAACAGGTGCAAAGGCTCTGAGGCAGTACATGCTTGATGAAAAGCTCTAGATCAGATTTAACATCTGGAAATTAGTCCTAGTTCTGTGGATTGTTTCTGCCATATGAGCCTGTTTTTCTCACCTGTTAAATGAAGCCGTCCAGCAATGAGGTGGCCAAGGTCTCTTGCATCTTGAACTTTATACTCCAAGTGCTCAGACTCCACTGTCTCGTCTTCTTTTGACCCTGCCACTTACTTTTCTGCCCACGTAACCTACTTGCAGTGTTCACAAACCCAAGATTTCCTCTTTCTCTCTCCGCTCCAAGTAACTTGGAAGAACTTGGCCCTAGGGGCTGATGTTTTTATTTGCCCTTGGTTGCAATGGTAATTTCATCTCATGATGAAAAGTCTTCTAAAAAGACTCAGTCATCTTGCTTATTGAAATCCGATCCATCCCTTCATCTTTCAATGGCGACCTCAAGCAGCCTGACACATGTTCTCTTTCCTCATTCTAAGATTTCATTGATTATAAGATGCTCCATCAGTCTAATAACAGCCTTCCAGTAAGAGGAAAAAAGGAAGATTAGAAAAGAGGAAAGAGGAAGAAAAAGAAAGGACGAGGTAGATGGAGACTATCTTAGTATTTATTTATCCACACCATTATATATTACTTTCATTACCATGGTTGAACTCCAGGCATCAGAGACCATGTTATCCACAGCCTTATGGAGACGTCACACTTTTGAGTCGCGCTTAGCAGCTTGGCCTCTTGAGCACATTTACGAGTGAGAGTGTAATAGGAAGACACCATGGAGAATCCTGGTGCTTTATTGACATTTCCTTTTTGGTTAAACTTATAATTTTGTTTCTCCTTTTAAAAAAATAACTCGGAAGGAGCTTCTTACAAACATCCCCAGAAGAATTTGATGGATTGGGCCCTGAATAACAAGCTTTTATTATGACACATGAAGAGCTCATACCAATTTCCTCTAGCTTTGGAAATTGTTTCATTTACTCACTGTGATGAAGACCAACAGTTCAATGCTTGGAACATAATATTCCAGGCAATCTTATGCACACATGGTGACTTTTCTTTTGATACAATAAAGCAGTGTAATATTTGTGAAGATATTTTCAGTGAAAATTAGACACCTGAACCTAAATTAACAACATAATGCCACCAATGCAAATAACAAAACAGAAGTGGGAAAAACATACTTCTGTAAAGCTGGCTGAGATTTATATGGCCCCAGGCAGTGCCAACTGTATTAGCACCTCACTCCCCTGCTCAGCAGCTGGCAACAGGATTTGACATCCCAATCTTGTAAATGCTAACATGTGAAAACATAATGTAAGACTAAAGCTGGAGGAAATATGGCAGTTTTCAAAAGTCACAAAACTTTAAGAATTTCGTTTAGCCTGCAGAGCTGCAGCGGTATCCATCAGCTCAAAAGCTGTGTGTATGGCTTGCCTTCCTGTCATCAGACCTCCCCCTCCAGCTCCAACTCTAGTGATAAGAGAGTTCAAATCACAGCTTGGAGAGAAAACCAATCTAAAAAGGAAGAAGACAATGGTTAAGCTTATTTTAAGCTTCCTGCCTGAACTGCCATTAGGCTAATTTCTTCTAGATCAGACTTCATTTCTTGACGGCTCATGAGCAAATGCGTATTTTCATGGCTGTGCTAAGAAAGGACGGTTCTCTTTTCCAGGGCTTTGAACCTCATCTGAATTAGTAATGACATATAGCCGTTGTGAAACACCAACCTGAAGCTAATAAAGGAATTAAGAACTAATCCTATAAAAGTATTTTGCAGTTTTGTATGTTCATGCATGTGGTTATTTTTGCTTGTGGTGAGTTTTGTTCCTTCTTTGTGATAAAGTAATAAAGCAAACAACCTTTTTATGGTGGTTTAAAGTTCTCACACACAAAAGCCCCTCCCTTCCTGTTTTACCACTAAGAGTTTTGCTTTGCTGCCTCTGAAACAATTCTCCCATAGTCCTTTAAAAGGAAAAGTCCCCCCATCTGGAAATACATGGTAAGAGTCTATACAGAAGGACAGAACCAAACCAAACCAACTTGCAGGTGTCTGGAAGGAATTTGCAAAACTCTGGAAATCACCCTGGGGAAGCTCAGTGGCCCACAGCGAGCCCCAAAGGGAGGATGAACACACCCTCTATGTCTTGTGCACTCAGCTGCCACTGCTGGCCTCTGCAGCCTTGCAAATGCACTGGCAGCTTGAGACAAAGCCCTCGGGAAACTAGGCTTCTGCTCCTCACCTCTTACCTTAGCTGCACTGCCTGAGCTGTACTTGTTTGCAGGAGAGTAAAGAGAAACACCTTTAACATCTTTATTAAGACAGCTAGAAACACTTTCCTCTCATTTCTGGCGTGCAAGCTTTGAACTATAGCTTACATACTCAGGGTGGGTTCTTTTTCTTTCTTTTTCTTTCTTTCTTTTCTAGTTTTGTTATATATATATATATATATATATATATATATATATATATTTGTCCTTCAAAGTAGATAAGTAGTCCAGGCTGGTCTTTAATTTTCTATGTACCCTATATAGAAAATTTCTATGACCTTGAACTTGGGACTCTCCTGCCTCAACCTCTCAAGTATGGGGATTACAGGTTTGTGTCACTATTACCAGCTTCGGGGTGATTACTTTTATAGGAAAAAGCCTCATTTTTTTTTAACATTGCTGAATGTCTCTGTGTGGCACAGTGAGGACCTGGACTTTTCCATGCACTATTTATCCTGCTAGCACCACCAACCCTTCAATCAGGAGCCACTACTGAAAATTTTTAAAAATGCATTTAGAAGAACAGATTTAAATAAAAAGCTATCATTGCTTCACAGGTTTATGTAAATTCACCGTCAGATCTACTTACATTAAATAGTCATTCTTTATCACAGCCTTCTTAAATAATGACTAACTATTAAGAGAGATTGTGACAGTTCTTTAGCAGGTTTTGTCCCCATGTTTTCAGATTGTCTTGTGGTCAGTGACAGCACTATAGCTCCTTCCTTGTGGGATGGAAAATGTCTACAAACACTTTGTGTAAATTATGTATTTGTCATCAACTTGAGAATTTAAAAGGTGGTAATAATTTTTTACTTAATGTGCATTTTAAAAAGCTCACTATTGTCAAAACTGTTTATTGTAAAAGAAAAAGGAATTACTAAGTAAATAGTTGTGGGTGCATGTGCTACAATAAATGATGAAACTACAGAAGAGCCAGAATTCTGTACTTTGTATATGTTCTAAGGGAGGATTTCTTAGCTTTTGTTTTCTGCACATATTTAATGTGCAAGTAGCCTTTCATTTCCCATGTTTTCCATGGACCCTGCTGAATAGCAATATGATGACATTGATCAGACAGGGCTCAGCACAGATCACAGACACATCTGATGGCAGGTGAGTGTCCTGCAGGAACAGATGTATCCAGTACCTAACAGGACCTAGGGATCCAAAGGAACTATCTACCCCTACACTCTTGCCAAAAAGCACATTTCACTTATAATCATCCCATATGCTGTGCTTAAAAGGGAGATAATAGTACGCTGCATCTGCAAAAGTTCAGGTAAGAGAGCAGTATTACTGGCCAACTCTCAGATTTAATCACACATTAAAGTGGGAACTGATCTTATCACCAGATAAGATCACAGCGCAACACAGAATTAAAACAGAGGTCTGTCAGATCTATCCTGGTTAATTTAATGCAAATGTTAATATGAATATATGATTAATTTGTCAAAATGATCCTTGTGCATTTGAAAAGAACACACATTTTCTACTACTGGATATACATATGTCCTACCTTATTACTGATTAAATTGTTTCGACTCATATCTCTACTTTCCTTGCATTCAACTTGTCATGTACTAAGTATAGTATTTTGAAGTTTCCTATTATTAATGTGTTTTCAGGTATTTCTGTTTTCTTCTCATGTGATTTCTGTTCCCTCTCAGTAGTTGTTGTATTATTTGGTGCATATTCATAATTATTGTGCTTCCTTATGAATCACGATTTTCAGCATTATACCGTACTCATCGTCTCACTTAAAATTTTTTGGCTTAAAATTTACTTGTCTGATATAAGAATCACTATTCCACCTTCTTGTTTCTGTTTTCTTGGTATATTTTTGCCCTTTGAAAAACATTTTGGGCCTTCGAGTGACTGCGTTTGAGAGCAGAGTACAGGGTCAGCTTTAGCCTGATGGGCTCACCTGAAAATTGGCTCAACTGTCATTACAACAAGAAAAGTAGAGAAGCCAGTTAAATCCATTCTGTTTATTGATCCGACTCATACGTTCAGCCCCAAGTGTCATTTCAATTTGTAATTATGCATGTGCTATGCTTATATTTCCTTCTTTAATTGGCACATTTTATTTGCTATTTTTTTCATTTCTTGTGGAATTTCAAGATGTTAGTACGTTTGTTCCAGTGATTATCTTTGCATTTATTTATAGCACTCAAAATCCCCATATTACTGAACATTTTATAGCCTGGTATGTCCATTTGTAATCTTGTGGCTGACCTATTATCTGTATAACTGTCAGTCATACTACTCTCCTTTCTACTTTGTGGGTCCCATCTCTTCACTCTCTTCTTCCTTCCCTCCCTCGTAAATTGTACCTTTCCAGAGCATAGTGTATACCTACTACTCTTCAACCCATAGTCCCACAACAATTAAATGTATTAAATTTTCACTATGCAATAGAATTACGTCATAAACTATGTTTCCACTACCAGAATTTTTGCTAAATTTTCCCAGTTATCTCTTGGATGGACAAAGCTCATCATCTTGAAGAACACACTGCACATCTGTACAGTATTCCTTGAGTCATTACATGGTGCGACTGTTTTCCTTTTATCTTGATATTTGAAGGCCGGCTTGGCTGGATACAAAATCATTGTTAAGATTTATAACTGGAAATGTTTTCCGAAGCCTCATGAGCTCAAAGATGGGGCTTTTGAAGGGTCATTGAATCATGGGGGTGCTACAGCTGAGCGTGCAGTCAGGAAGTTGGGCCTGGTGGGAGAGGCAGGTGCTTGGGGTGTGAGACGGCAGGGTGTACCCTCCACGGTACTCTCTTCTTCCTGGACACCGTGATGTGAGTAGTTTTCCCTTCAGTGTGCCCTCTGTCATGCCTTCCTGCCCTGGACCCAGTGTACTATGAACTGAACACAGGAGCCCAAATAAACCCCTTCTCCTTTAAGTTGGGAGTATCATATGCTGTATGAAGAAATGAAGATAGTGACTAACTCGTGTCATATCTCATTTGCCTGATACATAGAAAAAAGGTGGAGGTCCCTACAGAACTGGCAGGGAAAGGAAAGACAGAAGGAAGAGAACGAGAACAAATTTTGAAAGTTTCTTGAAGAAATGAAAGGGGTATTATTTTTTTTTTACCTCATAGGAATCAGGTCATAATAAAAAACCTATGCTTCATTATCCAATTATAGTTTCAATGTCCCAGCGTTTCCGCCTCTGTGGGTATACATGATGTCAGGTTAATTTGTTTATTAGTTGTCCCTAAACTTGAAAGTCCATCTTATGTGTCCTCAGGGATCCATCAGCCATCCATTCCCAAGGCCCCTTCCACCTCTAGGTCTCTAGGTCTGCCTTTGTGTCTCAGTCACTACGCATACTTCTTCCCTAGCTTTGAAACTGCGATAGCCCTGGGCCAGCTGCCTGTCATACCGCCTTGCTGCCTTTAGTCAAATTCTCCTTCTTTAACTAAGGCTTTTGCTTGCTCTACTGTCTTAGTCAGTGTAGCTGCTAGAAAAAAAATCTTAGACTGGGCAATTTATAAATAACAGACATTTATCGCTCACAGTTCTGGAGCCCGAGAGGCCCAGGATTAATGTGCTGACAGATTCAGTGTCTAGAGAGGGCCCTGTCCTCATAGATTGTACCTTATGTGCAGCCTTACATAGTAGAAAGGGCTAACAAGCCTCCCTGGGCCTCTTTTATAGGGGCATTAATTTTACGACCTAATCAGTTCTCAAAAGTTCTACTTCTTAATACTATTGCATTGAGAATTAGGTTTCCATATAAGAATTTGGGGGATAGGGGATCGAAACATTCAGACCATAATGTCAGCTGATGCAGTCTTACTCCAAAATGGGTGACGAGAACCTCTCTTTTGGCTGGTGAGATAGCTCAGTGTCACAAGTGCCTGCCTGGCAAGTGCAAGGTCCTGAGTTCGATTCCTGGTACCAAAAAATAAAGAAAGAACATCTCTTGTCCACCTGCCATTGCCATCTCCAGGGTAGTTTTCATTATCTGCTTGATCTGTTGCCCAGGCTCCGTCCACTGAGAAAATGCTACAGAAAGTGTCACTTAAGAAAGGTGACTGAGACATGGAGTGACAGCTTTGTATGCCCTCAGCTATTCTCTCTCCAAAGCATGTAAACCTCTCACTGTGGGCAAACGTCTTTATGGGCGGTAGCAGCAGTGTCAGTTGCTGAGAAGGGGTGAAGCCCCTTCCACCTTCAAGATCTAATTGGCTCCAGCTGGTCACACCCTCGGGCTAGACTTTCTAATGAGGCTTTAGTCTCCAGCACATTCTTCTAGCTCTTTTCCCACAAAATTCCTCAGCTTTCATATTAATGAATTTATTTAGACAAAGGCCATAGCTGCCCCTCAACATGACACCTGGCATGTGCTTAGGCTCTGAAAAAGCACCTGCAACACACGTTTCCTTGCCTTATCCATGAGCCAGGATAAAGTTCCTTTAGATATCAAGAAAGTATGAAAGCTTAGGAGTTTTGTGCTCTATCTTATAAGTATGTTGAAATATTGCAAGTTTCAAAATTTCTGAGCTAAAAGGTCCTGCATCCCATGAACCTGGTGGGAATTATAGTACACACTTATGTACAATGGAAATTGTATCTCTGACCCAGAATAAAGCAAATGAAACTCACTTCCATCATCAAAAGTTAAATCCACCTGGTGATTTTATAAGATACTTCAAACTTTTATTTGAATTGATGCTGTTTAAAAATAAATGTACTGGCAGGTTTTGGTCTCCTTCAGCTTTTACTGGAAGAGTAAGTTCTCTAGTTCCTTTAGGCCCACTCAGTATTAGGATTGGGCTTGCTCAATAAAGGCCAGCCCTTAACGAGGTGCAAGTTTCAGCTTATACAAATTGGAGTCCCATGTTTCAGATCTGGGCTCCTCAGCTGAACCCTTGGATTAATATAAGTCTGAAAGACAGTGGGTAATTTGCAATCAACACTTCAAAATATGGATCTTATCTATTATATATACAGATTGCAGGACTGATATGAGTACCTACAATGTGCCCCATATTTCAACAACATTAAATTCTTATAACAACTTTGCAAAGAATGTCTTTATACCCGCTTGATATATAAAGAAAATGCTTCTTAAAGATAGGAGATTTGCCTAAAGG